TGTTTTGTAAACCTAAGCACTGAAAAATAAAGAATTAATAAAAAAAAATAAAAAAATTTGAGTTCGGGCTCAAACTTGATCCGAACTTGACCCCGAACTCCATTTAAGTCAATGGGGATCTGAACTTTTGGGCACTAAAATGCATCTAAAAAAGTCATGGAAAGGGCTAGAGGGCTGCAAAAGGAAGTAAAAATCGGGGTAATAGTAGGGCAAGTGTCCTGCAAACAAATGTGGCTAGGGAAATCACTTAAAATAACATAAAATACATAAAAATTAAAAATACAGCTGAGCCATAAAATAGCACTAGATGGAATCTTTGATTTTAGCTTAGGAAGAACATAAATCAAAATCTAAAGCATGGCTGTCAGGAGGATCACCAGAATTATCCATTTGAGAGAGGTTGGAGTGCAGGGTATTCTCTTTCATTGTTCAAACTGAGCTCAACTCCTGATGCATGGAGAAAAAGCCTTCACAAGCCCCTGCTATTGTGTACATAGTTTATACTAAGTGACCCATAGGTTGAGGAGGCGGTGACCATGGCGGTGTAGGTGGAAGTGGAGGTGGAGGAGGAGGAGGAGGAGGAGGAGGAGGAGGTAGCCAACACTGTTTTTTATTATTGTTTAAATTTATTAAATTTTTTAATTGGGATAGCCCCCAAAATATTGGGACATATAAAAAAACGAAACATTTGCGGCCTTCGGTGCATTTCTTGCAGTCCAATAATGCCATCAGGTTTTTAAAACTGTCTGTCTCCACCAGACGGAATGACAGCATTTCAAAGGTCAGGAATTTTGAAATGCTGGCATTCAGGGCCAGGGATCGCGGGTGGCTAGGGGGGTACTTCCTCTTTCTCTCCAGTGTTTGAGAGATGGACAGCTGAAAGCTTCCATGGGATATTGTGGAGATGCTGGACAATTGTTTACCTGGCCTATTCTGGTGCAGGAACCCACCCTCTGAGCTACTTGTGAATGACTGGCCTGATAACCGTGGAAATGACCCCTCTTCCTCCTGTGCCACATCCTCTTCCATCATCGCCGAAAGCGTTTTTTCAAGGAGACATAGAAGAGGGATAGTAAGGCTGAGAACGGCGTCATCGGCACTGGTCATGTTGGTGGAGTACTCGACACAGCGCAACATGGCACACAGTTCTCACATGGAGGCCCACTCATTGATGGTGAAGTGGTGCTGTTCCGCAGAGCGACTGACCCGTGCACGCTGCAGCTGAAACTCCACTATCGCCTGCTGCTGCTCACACAGTCTCTCCAGCATGTGCGAGGTGGAGTTCCACCTTGTGGGCACATCGCATATGAGGCGGTGAGCAGGAAGGCCGAAGTTATGCTGCAGCGTAGACAGGCGAGCAGCAGCAGGGTAAAAATGCAGAAAGCGTGCACAGATGGCCGGCACTTTCTGCAGCAGCTCTGATATATCTGTGTAGTTTTTCAGGAATTTCTGCACCACCAAATTAAGCACATGCGCCAGGCAAGGGATGTGCATCAAACCGGCTAGGCCCAGAGCTGCTACGAGATTTCGCCCATTATCGCACACCACCAGGCCGGGCTTGAGGCTCAGGGGCAACTGTCAGGATTACAGAATGATCCAGCACGTAGAACTGTGTAACACAGAGGACTGATAGGTAACGTATACCGGACCTCAGAATGGCCGGACTAACGCACCAAAGAATAGTTAGGAATAGCCGAGGTCAAGGGAAACAGAAAGAGACACAACGATAAGGAAAAGTCAGGAGTCAGGGATGCCAGAAAACAGGGAAGTCAAAAACAATGCCAAAGTCAAATAACCAGAATAACCAGAATCAATAACACGCTCTCGGACAACCACAAGGGAAACCACGACAGGGCACTGAGCAGGATGAGAACTGGGCCTAAATACCCCTCCTCTAGGTCTGATAGGCTGTAACCGGCCTTTGACCCCAAAGGCAGTTACCAGATCTCATTTGCATAATTGCTGCTCAGCATTAACCCTTCTGTGGATTTGGTTGTTGCTCGGCACAACTTTTCCTGTGTGGACAGTAAATGTCATTAACCACATTTTTGTAAGCGGATGAATACGTGACAGCAACAACCACTCATCGGTCTGTTGTTCCATGCCTGTCCACAGCTCCTTCACGGTGTAGGGTTTTAAAACAGCCTGCTGTCGTTTCCCCCCTGGCTGTGCTGAAGTTGGTGGTGAAGGTGTTATGCTGACTGGATGAGGAGGTGGTAGAGGAGGAGGAAACGGAGTAGGAGGAGGAGGCAACAGGAGGCAAAGCTGTGTACCCAAATAAAGATTGTCAAACTTTGTATCCTGGAACTGTGTCCCATCTGGTTACTGGGGAATTGGGTCTGACCTATTCTAATCAAAGGGGATAACCACCGGTTATCCAGGTCCCGCTTCAATTGGTGGCAAGCGGCGGGATCCCATGTAACTGCCAACAGACCCATGGACTACAGTACACTGCAGGACTTGTGTGGAGCCAGAGGAATAATACCTGGTGGGCTTAACAAGGCCAAATTAACTTCTGCGCTTATGGAGGACGACCAGGCATGCAGTGAGGCAACGAACCCCAGCCAGGGGCCGGAGGTGAGGAGGAAGTGCGCAAGGAGGTGGACCGGCACCTGACATATTACTGAGAGCCACCCTCAGAGGAGATCATCAGCAGGACTGTGGCAAACCTAGCCACTTGTAATACTCTGGGCTATATGCATAAAAAGGTTGTCTGTACTAATCCCTGTAACTTCATGTATAACCTAGATCTACACTGTGTGTTACTGTGTGTTTGCATATAATTTGTATGCTAGCAGCCGAAAGCAGCTAGCATTCATGTGTTTCGTTTCACGAACAACAACCTTACTGGCTGTTCGTGAACCAAATGAGCTACCCCCTAATAGCCCACACATAGAGGGACCTGTGGCGCTCATTAACCGATTGCAACAAAGTTGCAATCGGTAATTAGAGACTTTCCTAGGTGGCCGTCGTTTGGCTACTGACCACGCGGCGGTCGGCCATCTTGGATCCTTTGTCTCACCAGCGGTGTTTGGTCGTCAAACGCGTGGAACTGAAAACGGCTACTCGACGACGTGAACACCACTGGACTTCCAGGCCGTTCGGGATCATCGGTCTTTCGTTATTGTGGTTCCCCATCGGTGTTCGGTACTTTTAGGCGAACACGATGGCAAAGTGTATTTTGTGCGGCGTTCGGTTATTTTAGCTGGGATCTGAGCGGTATTCCCACGAAATGACCCAGACCCCAGCTATCTACCGAACGTTCATTCGTTTAAATAAACCGAATAGTATAAAAGTTATGTATTTAAATGTAAAATGCCAGTTCTGCTGCACGGAGGGATAATCCACTTAACGGTGTATTCCAGTGGGAGTATCCCTCTCGTGCAACAGTGCCTGATGGGAGAAATGCCCAGAATGTTAAGTCCCCCATGTAGTCCCCTACTGTGTTACCCCTGCTATGTCAGTAGGGAAACCCCTTGCATGGGGACTTGCATAAATACTGGAGCTGTGAACAAAAACCTCAGTTGACTCCCAGAACTGTGTTTCGTCCGGTTACTGGGGGATTTGGGATATTGCCTTACTTTTCAGCGCTTGACTGTGGATTACCTTCTTTACCAGCGGAGATCATGGAATTTAATATTGCAGCTCCGCTACAAGGACCTTTTTGGAGGTGCAAGCCTATGTCCTTGCCAATAGACAGAGAGCGACCTCCATGAACCCTGATGAAGGAAGAAGGGAGCAGAGGGCACCGGGGAGCACAACCACCCTGGCCCACAAGCTACCATACAATGCCTTCAAAGAGTTCAAGGAAGCAGAAGAAGGCATTGATGACTTTTTACAAGACTTTGAGCGCCAGTGCCTACTCCAAGACGTGAACCCAGTGACTGGGTCACTATCCTGGCCAGCAAACTAATGGGGAAGGCAGCGGATATTTACCAGGCTGTACCAGAAGAGCATATCAGAGACTATCCCTTTATTACACAAATCCTCCTGGCCCGGTATGTGGTCACCCCCGAGCAATACCGCCATAAGTTTAGGGAGACCCGGAAAGGGGAGAAGGACTCCCATGTGGAGTGGGCATGCCTCATCACAAGGGCCACCAAGAACTGGCTCAACTCCCATCAAGCCAAGTTCCCGGAGGAGATCATCCAGCTCGTCATGCTAGAGCACTTTTTCAATGGGCTCCCCAATGACATGGCTGGTGAGAAACCGCCAGCCCCAGACCCAAGAAGTATTGGTATGAGCTGCTGAAGCTAGCTCTTGATATCATATCCCCTTGGCAGGACATTTGGGCAGGAGCCAGCGTCTCGGCTCACCCAAAGCTTCTTCTGGCCAAGCATCTCTCAGGATCTGAGGCAGTACTGCCTGATGTCTGCCAGAGAGTGGGGAAGAGAAGGGACCGGCACAGGGCCCCCCTACATCCCCTACCTATTAGTGAAGATCTGTTCGGCAGAGTAGCTGTCAGCATTATAGGTCCCCTAGCCAAGCCTAGTCCCTCTGTGAAGAAGTACATTCTGACCATCATGGACTACGCGACTCGGTACCCTGAGCAGTATTCGGGCAGAGACTGTGGCTGAAGCCTTGATGCGAGTGTTCTCCCGGATGGGGTTTCCCCAGGAGATTCTCTCACCACCAACTGTGGAGATTGTGCACATTAAACCAATCCTGAGCTCCCCTTACCACCCCCAGACCAATGGCTTGTGTGAGTGCTTCAACGGTACGTTGAAGCAAATGCTCCGTACCTTTGTGGCTCACAAGGATTGAGAGAGATTCCTGCCCCATCTCCTTTTTGCCTATAGGGAGGTGCCACAGGAATCAACTGGGTTCTCCTCGTTCGAACTGCCATGCCAGGGAACTCCTTGGAGCTGGCTTTGGTGTGCTCGGTCCCTGGGTGCGGTGGGCAGTAGCAGGCCTACTGTCTAGGGGATGGCTGCTCCGCTTTTGCACCCTTCTCTAGGAGGAGGAGGTGAATGTGGAGTAGGAGGTTGAAGAGGTGGTGACCGTGGCGGCGACGACGCATTCGGATGTCTGCCCTATCAACTTTTGATGTTACTATCTGCGCCTACCATGGTGACCACGGGTAACGGGGAATCAGTGTTCGATTCCGGAGAGGGAGCCTGAGAAACGGCTACCACATCCAAGGAATGCAGCAGGCGCGCAAATTACTCACTCCCGACGCGGGGAGGTAGTGACAATAAATAACAATACAGGCCCTGTAATTGGAATGAGTCCACTTTAAATCCTTTAACGAGGATCTATTGGAGGGCAAGTCTGGTGCAGAGCGACTGACCTGTGCATGCTGCAGCTGAAACTCTGCTATCGCCTGCTGCTGTTCTTACAGTCTCTCCAGCATGTGCAAGGTGGAGTTCCACCTTGTGGACACGTCGCATATGAGGCAGTGAGCGGGAAGGCCGAAGTTACGCTGCAGCGCAGACAGGCGAGCAACAGTAGAGTGAGAACGCCAAAAGCGCGCACAGCCGCCACAGTGAAACTGTGAATGGCTCATTAAGTCAGTTATGGTTCCTTTGATCGCTCCATCTGTTACTTGGCTAACTGTGGTAATGCTAGAGCTAATACATGCCGACGAGCGTTAGGGGACGGACGCTCCGCTTTTGCACCCTGCTCCCTCTAATGCTGTGCTGGTGCCTCTGTGCGACCACCGCCTCTTCCTCCAAACTGCACACGTCACTCGCATGACCTTCATTCCATGCGGGGTCTAGGACCTCATCATCCTCCACATCACCTTCCATCCTCAACCCTGCCCTCCTTGCCAGTTTGCACACTGCAGAAAGTCACAGCAGTTGGCACTTGTGTTTTTCCAGCATGTAAAGTCTGCAAACGGCATATGGAAATTGTTTTAGAATTGTATCCAGGCAACAGTTTCCCCTATAAACTGACCTCTCAGTTTAACTTGTGAGGGTATTGCCCCAGAATTACAATATTGTTTAAGTACCTCTTAGCTATTGATAACTGGTTTAAATCTAGCAGCTTGTTATCTGGTAGTTTCTAGTGTAGAAAATATAAATCTGTTTTCTATCACTTAGATCTGTTTAACAAGTGTTGTAGGTGTGAAACAATATTACAAGTGACCGATGTAGTAAATTCGAATTTTTAAGATGTAGACTTATTGTATTACACTAGCCATGCACAGGTAGATTGTCTGGCACGTTGTTTTGGCATTTGTTTTTTAACTTTGTAGTTGTGTCTTTACACAATATAGAAATGTATATTAATGCTTCTGTATATGAAGCGATCACAATAACACTGGTGAACACTGGGAGACCTGGGGACATTGAGACTCTTGGGGATACTGGGAGACATGGAGACACTGGGTGACTTTGAGAGACGAGGGGACACTGGGAGACATGGGGCACTGAGACAATGAGATACATAGGGGACACTGTGATATATAGGGGACACTGGAGACTTGATAAAGACCTGGGTACAGTTTGAAACGTTGCGGTGTCCAATAAACCTGCTTAAATCTATCACAGTGAGTGCCTGAGATTTTTTTCTTTTATACTAGGGGACACTGAGACACTTGGGGGCACTGTGAGACATGGGGACACTGGGAGACTAGGGAATTCTGAGAGACTAGGGGACACTGAGATACTAAGGACACTGAGATACTACGGACACTGAGAGACACATGGGTCACTGAGACACTCTGATACATAGGGAACACTGTGATACATAGGGGATACTGGAGACTTGATAAAGACCTGGGTACAGGTCAAAACGTTGCGGTGTCCAATAAACCTGCTTAAATCTATCACAGTGAGTGTCTGAGTTTTTTATTTTAAACTAGGGGACATGGGGACACTGGGAGATATTGGGACACTGAAACACTGGGAGACTAGGAGACTTTGGGAGACTAGGAAACACTCAGACACTAGGGATACTGGCACACTACGGACATTGAGAGACACCAGGGACACTGGGAGACATGGGGATACTGAGATACTAGGGACACTGGCTGGGAGACATGGGGACACTGGAAGTGCCCCTGGTCTCAAAGTCGCCCAGTGTCCCCATGACCCCCTGTGTCCCTCAGTGTCCCCATGTCTCTGTGTCCCCTAGTGTTTGTACCCCCATGTCTCCCAGTGTCCCTTAGAGTCTGTGTCCCCGTGTCTCCCAGTGTCCCGATGTCACTAGAACACTAGGGGACACTTTGAGACATTGGGACACTGTGAGACATGGAGACACTGAGACACTGGGAGAGACATGGGGACACTGAGATACATGGGGACACTGAGAGACTAGGGGACTCTGGGAGACTAGGGACACAGACACTAGGGACACTGAGAGACACCAGGGACACTGAGAGACATGGGGACACTGAGACACTACGGCCACTGGCTGGGAGACATGGGGCCACTGAGAGACTAGGGACCACTGGGAAACATGGGGCCACTGTGTCCCTAGTGTCTCAGGGTCCCCATGTCCCCCAGTGTCCCTATGTCTCCCAGTGTCCAAATCTCTCAGCATCCCCAAGTCTCTCACTGTCCCCATGTCTCGCAGGCTCTCTGGCCTCTCTGTGCAGAGCTGCTCCCCGCGGATCAGTGAGTAAAGAGAGGCAGGGAGGGAGATGCTGTAACTTCTTATCCCTGCATCTCTCCACACAAACAGCGACCCCTACTGACCGGCGCTGGTATTGCAGAATAATCTCTGTATATACTCTGTTTATTACTGCAATACTGGCACCAGCTAGGCAGCCTCAATTACCTGAGAAATACTTCTGAGAAATACCTAGCAACCATAAGAAATACCAGGCTCTGATTGCACAGCGTGCAAACCACTCGTGTCTTGTCGTCAGCACATTGTCTGAAGAACTGCCACGCCAGGGAACTCCTTGGAGCTGCCTTTGGTGTGCTCAGTCTCTGGGTGCAGTGGGCAGTAGCAGGTGTACTGTCTAGGGGACGGCCGCTCCGCTTTTGCACCTTGCTCCCTCTTATGCTGTGCTCTTCCTCCAAGCTGCGCACGTCACTCGCATGACCTTGATTCCATGTGGGGTCTAGGACCTCACCATATCATCTTCCACCCACTTCTCAACCCTGCCCTCCTTCCCGGTCTGCACACTGCAGAAAGCCACAGTAGTTGGCACCTGTGTTTCGTCATCATCAGAGACGTGCTGCGATGGTCCTCGCATGTCCACATCCTGACACATAAGTGGTTGTGCACAACCACTTATGTGTCAGGATGTGGACATGCGAGGACCATCGCAGCACGTCTCTGATGATGACGAAACACAGGTGCCAACTACTCTTCCACTTCTGGGGCGGGGCTAGGTGGATGGTCCACGGAAACCCCGCCAGCAGAGTCATCAAAAAGCATAAGAGACTGCTGCATGACTTGTGGCTCAGACTGCTTGGCTGATTTTCAAGGGGGTGAGGTGAAAGACAGATGGCCATGATGTGTGGTCTGGTGTTTGGGGGTTTTTGTTGCTTTGGGGTCTCATGCTAGGGAGGGTTCATTCAACTACGGGTCCCAGATTTTATAGAAATGATGAGCTGTTTCGTGGATCTTGACTGAGAGCCTATCCATCTCCATGGCCTCCCTGGTTTTGCGTATGACTTCAGCTAATGTGGGTATATTGGGGGTACCCAAGAGTTCTGCTATTGCTCGTTTTGTGAGTTTGTTTTGTGCTCTGGTCAGGGGTTCCCATGGTCTGGATAGGAGCCAGATCCAGCGGTCTAGGGGTATATCTGCGTGGAGGAGGTCGGAGATCAGGTGTGCCACTTCTGTCCACAGTGGTGTCAGCTTGAGGCATTGCCACTGTTTCCAGCACAGGTCTGAGTCTGTCTTCTGATGTGATACAGCCGTGTAGGTGTTAGGTATCATCTCAGCATGGTTTTGTAGGCCTGTTCTTTATGATTTACGCATATGGATATGGATGCCGTGGCCTTCCATATCTCCTGCCAGTCTGTTGGGTCATCTGGTGGGCCCAGGTCCCTCTCCAAAAGCCATATATGCCATTGCTCCCAGTGGTTGGTTGGTGATTAATAGTGTGTAATTATCAGTGATCTGTCCCTTATGGGTTGGGTTGTGTATGCATGTTCTTTCGAAATTTGTAAGTCTGGTGGTGGCTGCTGTCGTGTTTACTGGGAGTTATAGGAAGCTTCTCAACTGTATGTATCTGAAGAGGTCATGGGTGTTTGTGGTAGACATGTGCAATTTATTTCGGTCCGAATATGAATTCAGATGAATTTCGGGCAATTCGGAATGTCCGAATTGCCGAAGTGCCGAATTGCAGAAGTGCCGAATTGCCGAGGTCCCGAAGTTCCGAAATTACAGAATTTCCGAAGTGTCGAAGTGCCAAAGTTTTGAAGTGCTGAAGTTCCAAAGTTGCCGAAGTTCCGAAGTGTCAAAGTGCCGAAGATCCGAAGCACAGTATTGCCTAAGTACTAATTTACTTACCCAGCGAAAGAAGAAGAATGTTACATTGAATACAATTTTAAATAAAAAGTACACAAACATAGCCAGGATTCAGCTGTAAGCATTTGCAACACTTACAACTATCAAGTAACACACATTCATATAAAATGTAAGTTACTTAGCCTGTCAATGTAATGATAGGAATGAATAAGTAGATAACTCCCTAATTCCGACGGTATTAGGGAGTTATCTACTAAAAGGCTGATAGACCTAAATTGGTCTTTCAGACAAATTTACTAATACTAAGTAAAGATTACTTAGTATTAGTAAATTATGCCCCTACTCGCTATACCGCGAGTAGGGGCATGTCTATTAAACACTGTAAAAAAAAAAGGTTCTCCCTCCCGAGCCCCCACCCGCGACACGTGAGTGGGTTCTTTTAAACTAAAGGGGGACCTATTGCCCCCCCGAGCGGCGGGTGGGGGCCCTAAATACCAATTGTCCTACCCCCCCCAGCCCCCACCCCTGAGTGGCGGGTGAGGGCCCTAAAAATAAATGTTACCTCCCCCCAGGTGACTAGGGGTCCCCAAACCCCTAGTCACCCCCTCCCTCCCCCCAAAAAATGAACCCACTACCTACCCCCCTCAACCTAAAAAAATTGAGGGGGGGACCTTTAACTAAGTACCTGTAAATAAAATAAAACTTACCATTTGTAACGGACCGTTTTGCACATAAGGGGTAAAAACCGTTTAGGCGATCGTCCCCCTTTGCAGAGATGCAGGCACAGCTACTGTAGAACACCAAACACATGAACCACCAATAAGGGAATGCTCCAAACTCCCGAACGGCATCCAATATAGCACTCCAAACACCCGAACAGGAACCATACGAATCGCTGCTAGCAGACGAATAGGAAAAGCATCCACTCCTAGCAAT